GTATGAAAGAAGAAAATACAGGTAGAGTTGTTCTGAAGGGTGAAATGATCCAAAGAAGCTGAATTGGATTTTTGTACTGTGCTGTAACAGGTTTATTTCTGTTGTTGGGAACTTGAAGATTGTTTTTCAGTTTTCAGCGAGATTTTAATAAACATAAAGTGAAAATCAGTAACGTGATTAACAGATAACAAACATATTTGAAGTTTAATTGAAAGATATTAGTTCTCGCCCCTTAGTTTGTGCTTAATTTTGACTGTTTTGTATTTTTTTTAGGCAGATAATTGGTAAATGTATCAGCAGCTGGCACGTCAGTAATTTACTTTGGTCTTCATGTCTTCTCTCTTTCTTTCAGATTCTTTACCAAAATCTGGAGGCCCTCTGATGCCATCTCAGGCTTTCCAAAGTGAAATTCCTCCACCTGAGGTCCAGACCCAGGTCTCTGTGCCCTCAGCTGAGGAACAAGCAGAGTCTTCTTTACCCCAAATCCAGACTGAAAGTCAGGCTTCTCTACCACAAATCATGGGCCCACCCATGATGCTGAACGAGCCCCAGGATCAGCCGCAGTCTGCCACAGAGGCGCCTGTCCCGCCTCAGACTGACCTACAGCCCCACATTCAGACCTCTTATCCCACTCCTGTGGCTTCCTACCCCCAGGTCTCCCTTCCCCACCCCTCCGCCCAGGCTCCTCACCCCTCCGAGGTCCCACATCCCTCCCTTTCTCTCTCTGCCTCCACCATTGTTCCCCAGACTCAAACCGAAGCCCCAGCACAACAGCACCAGTCTGCACCCGAGTCTCAAGCTCCACCTGCCTCCGAGAAGCCATCCCCACCTCACCCCCCTCATACTGCTCCTCCTCAGCCCCTCCCCGGACCCGTCCCCCTGCAGCAGATGTCCCAGCTCTACCAGGACCTCCTTTATCCCGGATTCCCCCAGGGAGAGAGAGGCGAGATAGCCGCGACTCCAAACCTTTCTTCCAACAAGTCCGGGGACGACCTGCCCACAGGTGAGCCACACCAAAGAGTCCTAAGATTATAAATAACCATGTCAACTGTCGCCATAGAAAACTGAACAATCAGATCAGCCATCAGAGCCATGCCTGTGTCGTACTCTGAGACTCACAGCTCTATATTCAAAGACGGTGCTGACTGTCAGAAGTGTTTCAGCAGATTTGAAAACATGAGAAAATATCCACATGCTTTAATTTAATCAGCACTGGACGTCCTACACGGACTCCCTCAGCGGGAAACACCTGTCCTTCCACAAAAACTGCTTTTGAACCATTTAGGCAAAGAAAATACTCTGTTCTGATCACAGATGTGCACGAAGGCCACCATACAGGCAGGGTTAGACATAAAGAACATGCTGGTGCTTCCCAGCAGCTGAAATAGACTAGAGATTCGTTTTGTATGTTAATGGTCAGTGTTTTCATGGAGCAAAAGTAGAGGCTGCGATGTGTCAGTGCAGTGAGCAACACCATGAAAGAGATATCTGATCAGGATTTTGTATCCTTGTGTTTTTTGTTTTTTTTCTCCTCAGATGTCAACATCTTGAGGTTTTTCTTTAACTTGGGCGTTAAGGTAAGACGTAAGCCTGGACCAACAGACACACAAACGCACACCCACAAGACACAGACCAGGTTTGGAGAAGAGGATGGAGGGTTGTGTTAAAATAAAAGCCCATCATCTCACATTTCCTGTTAACAAGTTGATTCATCGTGTGCTGTATTTTGGGAACATTTGGAATAATAAAAACAAAAAAATACAACCAGGTAAACAATGACTTCTGATGCGGCATGCCCAGTTGCCTAGCAACAGATATTGTTTACACAGTAAATTATGTGGTAAATTATGTAAAAATAATGCCAAGCTCTACAAGATGTACTTTAATTTTATTAAAATAATAAAACTTTTTTTAAGAGCTAAAAGTTATTTTTGATGCACTTTTAAGTAAAGTAACGAGGGGCTGATGCTGAGTCCTGCCTCTGCTCTCTTCCTCTACAGGCCTACTCCATGCCCATATACCCACCATACCTGTACCTCGTCCCCCTGCAGCAGGCCCATGCCATGCAGCCCAAGCCATCTTCCCGTTCCCCGTCCCCACAGTGCCTTCCCTCTAACACCCCCAGCAACACCCC